TGCAGGTGTTTTGGGATATCCACGAAGACCCCATAGGTTAGAGCTGATTCGAACACAGATGGTGGGTGTAGCAGTTGGTCTAGGAGATCGGGCCTGTCACTACACATTGACTGTAATAACCACGTGGGGGTCAAGCTGGGTTTTCTCTGCCGTCTTAATGACTGACTTCTCAAACAATCTCATCAGCTGTGCATCTGTTGATTTGGTCATTCAGACGCTGAAAACCCCAGATTGACCGTTTTCCCTTCCACGCACGGAGCCTATGTGTCTGGAATACTAACCAAAATCCATCAGCTAAAGTTCAAAAGAAAAATGGAATGATTTGGTTAGGAGGAGATATTCACAGCAGTGTGAGTAATACTGTTTCCTATAAGAGAATAGATTTAATAAATTATGGCCATCCATATAATGGAGGCATAATATATCGCTATTAAATACGTTTTCAAAGAATATCTAATGACAGGGGAATATAAATCTGGATACCACATTCTACTAATTAGAAGGAAAAAACTATACACAGAAACACCTAGAAGAAAGGAGGAAATGCAGCAAATGCACCAAAATGTGAACAATGATTATCTCTTTGTATTTTCTGTCATGTCCACTATGAACATGTTATTTTTTAGCATCAGGAAAAAATGTTTTGTTTTGTTTTTTTCCTTTTTTGTTTTTTTGTTTTTTTGTTTTTTTGTTTTTAAACCAGAGGGATGATTTCTAAGACCAAAAAAAAAATTACAAACTAACTTGTAAAAGGGTGGTGTGTGACTGCTGGTCGTGGATCACGCATCTGTGCTAGCCACAACACACATCTTTCCCAAATACCAACCTGCATGCTCCTGAGCCTCAGAAAAGCTTCACTGCTTCCCCCTGCTTCACCTTACCTCTTTCTCCTTATCTTTCTCCCTTTCTCCCAGGACTCTTCCCTAGGCTCCCACATGGAAACACTGGGCTCTCCCTGATGTCTGTCCTGAGAACAGTGAGAGTTCTGACTTTATCAAGACTCAAACCCGCTAAGCAGGCCCGCTACAAGGTCCCGCGCCATCTAGCCTCCCACCCCCACCCACTCTCTCACCTCTCCAGTGTCACTCATCACTATCTCCTTGCCCCAGGGCCTTTGCACAGCTGTTCTCTTTGCCTGGACCCATCTTCTTCCAGGTAGCCGCAAGGGCTTATTCCTTCACCTGTATGTATTTGGGCCTCTTATATGGTATTATCCATGGATTTTCCTTCAGGATAGTAAAGAGTGCTATAAAATACTTGCTATTAAACAAAGAGGCAATGGGTCTGATGAGGTTAAGGACCCCTGCTGTACCGTGATTGCTGGTTGGCATTTCTGTCTCTCACACTAAATTGGAAACTCTGGGAGCGGGGGGCAAGAACTGAGCCAAGACATATTTGCTAAAACAAATGAATGAACACATGAGCAAGTTGGTGATAGCTAAGGGGTGGGGGGTGGGGCCCTGGGGCAGCTACAAGTGAAAAGCTTTGACTCCCCTGGCTTGTGAGAGGTGAGCTACCTTCTTGCCAGTATATATAGGGACCTGACTGGAAGGCAGTGAAGATGCACCATCTGGCCAGGAACTCTCTAGAAGCCCAGCCACTCACCACGGCCGGTGAAGGTTCCTGGCCCCACAAAGATCACAAAGCCCACGGCTCTTCCATGTACCGTAAAGCTTATGGCTTCACTGAGGGTGAGGGAAGTACTCTCTGAGGATTAGGAGTCCACAGCACAGCCATCTGAGGCTGGCACTTCAACCTCTCTGCATCTGTGGTCTGGGGGCACTCACCCCTCCCCACCTCCCAGCCCTGCGGTGAGGATCAAATAGACTGTGAACATGAGGGGCTCAGGTCAACTGTGCGGACTATGCAAATGTTGGTCAGTATGACAGGGAATAATGACGGTTTTAGTGCTGAACATAATTAAATCTTTGATGACTCAGAGGCCCTTCAGGAGCTTAAGCTCATCATCATCAACATCAAGTATCACTGAATAATATTTTGGATCAAATTCTGATTGTTGCAACTTTCTTGGTATTTAAAATCTCGATGAGCAAGGCTTTTTGCATAACCTATCGAAGTGTGCTGGCGACCCACCGGAGTCCACTCCGGTCCTTCGCTCGTCCCCAACCGCCCACACTGTGGATGGAGGGAGGGTTTGTCTACTTAGGCAGAATGCATTCACTTGAGCAGAAAGCCCTGCTCTGGTAAGGGGGAAAAAAAAAAAAACACCCCTCAGACTCCACCCTCTTCCTTTGATCCTCCCACCGAATGCAGAGCTGGAACACAGAAGCAAAGCAGTTCAGATGTAATTATTTTCATTCAGCCAGATGCTGGGAATTAGTCTCTTTTCCTTGTAAGTATTCTAGAGAAAGACAGAACGCAGCCAAAGACGCCCCAAAAGAAAAGGAGCTGACAATCTCAAGAGGAAGGAAGGGAGCCCACCCCCCACCTCCTTGCCTTGGAACAGCTTAGATCAAGGAAAACCCGCTACCACCCCTGGATGAAGGAGGGAGAGGGGGGATGGGGAAGGAAGAGGAAGGGGGGGACGCCTAATAAATACTAAACACGGACTGTTTTGCCAATCCCGGAAAACCAGACCAAGGAGAGCACCCAGCATTGTCTGGGAGCTTTAGAATTCCCTAAGCACGTTAGCTTCTATTACCCGATTCAATTAGCAACTAGGGAGGAAGTCACTAGCTGAGCTAGAAGCCGGGGGAGCAACCCCACGTTAGGCTTCAAGGAATGCAGATTCCATCTTTCCCCAGGCACCTGTTGGCCCAGCCACCTCCACGAACTCCTCCAATCCTCACCACAAGGCACCCCTCTCAGCCCCAACATACAGGTGGAGAAACTGAGGCTCAGGGAGATTAAATAGCTCTACTCTAATGTCAGCTGGGTTCTCTCTCCCTTGTCTGAACCCCAGGAACTTCTGGATGGTCAGCATATACACTTGTAAGAGTTTCCATCATCATCTGCTGCTGCTAAACATTTGGTCAATCGTTCAGTCACAGATTCCTGAGAGATCTCCCGGAGCGCCTACCGCGCACCAAGCCCTCAGCCCTGCTGTCAAGTTCCTCCAGACCCACCTAGGTAAACAGAGAAGCCAGAGAATGAGTACTTGTGTATAAGCTGATGTGGTCATCGCCATACTGCAATTCTGTGTCTTATTCTCCCACTGGAAGCCCCCGAGTTGGGGACCCCACCGCCTGGCAGTTAAAGACCCTGGCACTAGAACCAGACTGCCTGGTTTCAAATCTCTTCTACCCAGTGGCTATGTGACCTTGGGCAGGTCATTTAACCTCCCCATAAAATAAAAACCATAAGATATCAGATACGATAATACCTCATACTACCTACAGTCTTACATCATATATTATAATAATACGGATAAATCAGTTGACGCATGTAAACCCTTAAGCACAATGTGTGGCTCAGCATAATTGCTCAATTAATCTTGGCTAACAATTTATACCCCCATAGCAGCAGCTCTCAAAGCATGGACCAGGGACCCTCAAGGGGTGGTCCGTGAGGCCAAAGCTCTTTTCCTAATAATGTCAATAAGACATGGAGTTTTCTAGAAGTTACCCAACAGCGATATCACAATAGCTTGACTGCAGAAGCAGATATGAGACTCTTCTGTTCAGCCTGACTTTAAAGAAATGTACAAAAACAAGGCCTTGCAAAACAAGGGCACTCTTCTCACTAAATGACTTTTGTTTTGGAAAATACAGTTATTTTTCAAAAAAGTTGTTATTTATGTTATAAATAACATAAAATAATTATAATGGGTTAAACTGTTGTTATTTTTAAGTGAATTAATATATATACTTTTATATATATTGACTTTATTTTCTAATATGGCAAGTATTTGTAGCTAACAAATAACCATAGCTGTACTGACTTCCCAGGAAGGTCAGAAAATCTTGTTTCTCCTCCTCCCTCCGAGGCTCTCTTACCTGAGCCCCATGTGAATTTGGGTTCCCAGGTTCCCCTAGGCTTGGTCCTGTGTTCATACTCTGGCTACCTCGTCCTTCTCTTCCCAGGACCCACCCACTCCTACCTGTGGCTCCCAATTAACCTAAGAGGCATGCAGGCCTGGGCATGAGCCCCGGTTTTAGAAGGTTTTAGAATCCGGTTGAGCCCCGATTTTAGAAGGTTTTAGAATCGGGTTGACCTGGTTTAGAACCATGACTCTACAATTTATTGTCTTTGAACAGATGGCTTAGCTTCTCTGAGCCTCAGTTTACTTATTCATAAAATGGGAACAACAACAGTACCTACCTCTTCGGATTATTGTCGGGAGTAGTGACAACTCACCCAAAATGCCCATCCCTCGACAAATAATAACTATCATTGTTACTGTGTTTCATCGTTATTGTTGGCCACCGGGTCCCCCGGGCCCCTCGTCGGTGTGCTCAGCTACCCTTTCCGCTGACCCCATGTCCTGCTTCTCCACAGTCCCACAGAAGAAGCAAAACCAAGGACTGCGTGGGATTGCAGCCTCTGGCTTCGCAACACACACACCCCAACCACGCGTCCTCACTCCCTCAATCCCATGCAGGGTGTCACACTATTCCAGAGCTAAAAGTGAAACATGACAACTAACTGCCAAGCACCCAAGCTCACGACTGAAAAAGCCCCTCTGCTGCCAGGGCTGAAGCCAAAGCAGTCTTGGTTTGGGGGGAGGGGACCATGACGGGAATGGAGGAGCCCTAGCCTGGAAGGCAGGGGACCAGGGCCCAGCCGGCTCTGCCGCTAATTGTGGGCGTGTTCCGTCCCTTCTGGGCCTCAGTTGGCTCAGCTATAAAAGGAGACAACATTCTGGCTCTGATGTTACAGAATTCTAAGACAGCCAGGTGAAACTGGGGAGCCCTGTCTTCCCCAGATTCCCTCCAAGGACGCATATGACCCTGGGGGACACAGGGACAGCAGCCTGCCCTCTGTCACTGCTCCACCCGCACCCCCACCAGGTCCTGTCCTGGTGTCTCCCTGCCACTCACCCTACAGTTGCTCAGCTCCTCGGCGGACAGGATGATGGTGCCACATTTCTTTCCTGGGACACCACTGGGAGAGGAGAAGATGAAAGAATGGAGAGCCAGACAAAGACAGACACAAAACCTGCACACTCCCTGAATCGGCCCTCCTCATCCTCCCCCCTCCCATTCCAGCAGATCTGCCCAGAGCCCCCGAGAAGACAGAGTCTCCTGAAATACTTGTGGCAGTGTGGCCTAGGGCACTGCTTCCTGGGCCAGGCCCCCCAGGCCTGGAGCTGCCCCGCCCCCTGCTCCCCAAGAGCCCGCCAGGAAGGGTAGTGTCTGCAATGAAAGTCCTAGAAGCGGAAAAGCATCCAGACTCACCCGGAGGCTTCCAGACCAGTGGTTCTCAAACTTTCCATCCAAAGACCACTTCTGTGGGCAAAAGACCTCGTGGGCCAGCCACCCCACCCTGCACCCAGTTGACCCCCAGAGTCCTGGAACATTTCAGCTCTGAGTCACTCTGATTTATCATGGGTGGGAGAGCAAGCCGCAGGAGGGAGTTAAGCAGAAGGGCTGGTATCCTCCTGGTGGTCGCTTGTCCAGGCTCTCTCCCACGGCTACCTCCCCTTAAACTCCTTGGCTGGGGTCTCTCCAGGGAAGAGAGATCCTGGCCATTCATGCAGCTCCTCAGTGAGGTGGACAACCAGGACATGAAGTCGGCCCACCCAAGAACCCCTCCACGAGGTCAAGTTCCCAAGGTGGGGCTTCTCCCAGGGGATCTGGACCACCTCTTCCCTGGGTCAGGAGGGCCCCCTCCCCCAAGCACCAGCCCAACCCACTCCAGTGTTTGGGATGAACCCGGAGTTGGGGGTTCCCAGTGCAGCCAGGGGCCACTGGGAAGGAGAAAAAAATGTCATGTTGTCCAGCAGCTGCTTAACTTTGGACTCGTGATTGTACCTCTCTGAGCCTCGGTTTCCTCGCCCATAGAATGAGTGTGTTTGTAGGCTCCATTAGTCAGGATGTGCACACACAGTGCATGGCACAAAAACGGCCCCCAAGGAGCATCATTTCCCTCCCTGCCTTTCTTTCGCAATTTCACCAAGCTGCTAAAATCCAGCCCTACACCTCGGGCCAGCCTCGAGGCTCCCAGCATGCTGTCTACAGAACACACTTTGAGAACCACTGATGGAGCTCTCCCCAATGCCAGCTTTTGGAGGGAGAGGCTCTCAAGCAGAGGAGGCAAGGGAGCCGGCCCCAGAGGCTGAGACAGCCCAGATCTCTCCACCTCAGGAGAGCAGAGCAGGGGCTACATCTGGAGGTTCCCCTGCCAGTTTGTGCCCCTAGACTTGGGCAGCTGAGCAAAGTGCCCCAGCCCTGGTCTGGCCCCCACTGGGTGTAAAGATACGATTTGTTTGACCAAGAGACAGAATCCTCACACCAGCCTCCTCCGCCCGTGTTTCTCCATCTGTTCCTCCCTCTGCCTCCGGGCCCTTCTTTGATTTCCCATCTTCCCTTCCCTCCCCTCCAGACCGAACCAGCTCCCACCTGCTCAGGGCCTTCCTTTTTCTCTCCCTTTGCCTTTCTGGCCCTCACTCTCTGCTTCTCTCCCTGACTCCAGCTCCCTATCCGACTGCTGCTTCCATACTCTCGGTGTAAATCAGCATCCACACCCCGCCTGGGCTGTGAGCACCCAGGGCCCCCAGAGGCCCCTTTCCCATATCCAGCAGCCCCAGTAGCCGGTCCGGCTGCTGGGACCCCAGCTCCTAGGAGCTCTCAGCAAGGCCAGGGGAGCTTTGCTCACTCAGCCAAAATGCTCATCAGTGTGACGCACCTCCAGGCTGGTCACCGGGGTGGCAGATATTCCCTATCCTGCCCCACCCCACACCCTCAGGTGAAGGCCCTCTCTCCAACCAGGAGAGGGGGAGAGGGAATGAGTCGGGCAGAGGCGGGGGGGGGGGCGCTGTCTTTGTTGCATATAGTTGCATGAAGCTGGCCAAAAGCAGACGGTCAGTGTGGAGGCCAGGGGAGTGAGGCTGGCCCAGCACAGCCGGTGAGCAAATACAAAAAGTGAGGATTTAGCAGAATCTACTCCACGAGGAGGCTGACATCCAGCAGTGCAAGCAGTGGAGGGGAAGTGGGGTAAGGAGATAAACAGAAGGGAGGGAAAGAGGGAGGGGAGAAAGGCGAGGGGTAGGAGGGAGAGAGGAAGGGCAAGTGTCCAGCCCCTGCTGACCACTGGAAGCAGCCCCTACCTCTGCTCCCCACCCTGCTCCCCAAAATCCCACGAGCCACTGGGGGTTGGGGATGCTGGAGCTCCAGCCAGGTGGGGGAGGGGCCGGCTGCAGAGTGGCCCTCTCTCTCCTGCCCCTGCCCTCAACCGACCAGGGCTGAAGGCGCAGTGGTGGGAGCAGAGACCGGGCCTAGACTCTGAGGCCCCCTCTGCAGAGCCGGTTGGATGTCTGAGGACTCCAGGGCCAGAGATGTCTGCTGACCTACCCATTGGACACCGCTGGCATGGGTTTGCCTGTCCTGGAATTCAGGCTGAATGCTCCTATCCTGTAGAGAGAGAGGCAGAGAGAGGGTGCCATGAGTCAAGCACCCCCATCCTGAGAGGCCATAGCACTTGGCATCGGAATTCTTGGAGACAGGTATCTATTCTGGATCAAACATCAAAACAGGACCAAGACCTGCAGGCCAGAGGAAGGAGAGGTCTTCCAAACCTTGTTGTGAAGCTCTGGGTGACTCTACCTCAGGGGTTCTCAAAATGTGCACCGTCAGCATCCCTGGGAATGTGTTAGAAATGTAAGTTCACAGGCCCCACACCAGACTAAGGGGCAGGTGGTTTGAGCCCAGTAATCTGTGCTTTAACAAGCCCGCCAATGATGCCGAAGCCTGCTGCGCTTTGAGAACCATGCTCCACCTTGCAAGCCTCAGTGGCTGGACTGTGAAACGGGGAGACTGCTGAGAGAATCCCATGAGATCTGAGAAGCCGATGGCGGCCTGGCCCAGAAGAGACGCCCAGTGAAAGGGAACTCTTGTGCATGGGGCTAGCCGGGAGACTGAGACACGTGACATTTTCAGTGGGGGGAAAGAGGTCCGCCTCCTTCACCAACCCATCGTCTCCAAGATCCTGCTTACCAACCCAAGGCTCGCCTCCCCAGCCATCTCCTGTGGAGGTCTTCCTCAATCCCCCCCTCCAAGCAGGTGTGCCTGTCCCCCAAAGGTGGGCCAGGTGACAGCAGGGAGGAAAGAGACCCGAATGACAAGCGGGCTTTTGACCCAGGCAGTTGGGAGCTGAGAGGGGCAGACACACACGCTCACTCTGAGGTCCCCAGATTCCATAAATGTCAGAGCCCTCCAAACCTGGGTTTGTTCCCTATTTTCAATAAATGATAGTTTATATCATTATTCTCTGTGAACCCAGAGAAGGAGAACTTTTCAGGGACAGAGAGGCCTCTCTGGGGGCTCGGAAGTTACCATGCAGTTAGTGCGGGTCAGAGACAAGGGCCTGGGAGAGAGACCCCCCTCCCCGACAATGACACATTCAGCACTTCTCCATCACGGCGAGGGGACAGCATCCAGTGCGAATTTGGCAGAAGCAAGCGTGGGGCTGAGGCCCAGCCTGGCCTGCTATCCCTTCCTGCCCACCCTGCCACGTGGCCGGGACGCTTGTCCCAGTCTGCAGGCTCTTCTTGTCTGGGTTCTGCCCCTGGGGCTTCCTGAGAAATAGGGACAAGAGAGGGCACCCCTGTTACCCAGCCAGCCCTGGCTGGTGCCTACAGCTGCCCGCAGGCTCCATTGTAAGAAGCCTTGGGATTCCTCATCCCAGAGCCTGCCCAGAGGAATAGCTTTCCCCTAAAAGCACTTACAGCCCTAGAATGCAGATTGTCGGGGGGGCAGGGCGAGATGAGGAGCGCCTCACCATTCCCACCTCTGGCCTACAGCACCCTTGCTGTAGGGATCTGAGGGATATGCCATGTGAGGAGAACCCTGAATTCAAATTCCAGCTCTCCCACTTCTTAGCCGTGTGGCCTTGGGCAAGTCACTTTCCCCTCTCTGGGCTTCGATTCCTTCCGCTATACATTGGCGAGGGTGGGCGGTAGGGGTGGGCTAGATAGTGCCTCCGGCCGTCCCAGGAACATGGGGCTCTAATAACTAAACCTGGGTCCCTCCAAGTTAACTGGGTTAGCGGCCCTGCAAGGGCAGGGCCCATGGGGTCTCCTTATTCCTAATCACCCCGCATGCGTGGCGGATTGCTGCTCCCCTACCCTGAGCTAAGGGTGGGCGGGAGGTTGGCCCATTCCTGGGGAAGCAACCCAGACAGGCCCCACTCCCACCTACACTTACGTGAGGGGCTTCTCCAGGCGGCTCCCAGGGGACCCCACGATCTCTCCGAGGGTGCAGAAGGCCTGGCCCAGGAAATCCTGCACGCCCAGGGTACAGAAAACACCCGTGTCACCCACTGTGCCCACAGCCACCCCACCTCCCCCATCACCCCATGGCTAGAAGTGGGCGGGCTTGGAAATGACCAGAAGCAGCATCAGACACACAGTCTGCGTCGCAGTGAAGCCTGAGGCTGACCCAGACTCTGGCATTTGAAGAGAGCTTCAGAATCTCTGGGCAGTCATGGTGGAACTCACGTGTTTGGATAAGTCAGGGCTCTTCGAATCAACGTCGTATCTGCAGGGAACACACAGAGATGGGAAAAACAGCTGGGGCATCCTGCCCAGAACTGCTGGGGTCCTTGAGCTGAGTCAGGACCCCTACACCCCTAAATACAGGCTCTGACACAGTAGGATATTTCTGGGAGTAACGGCTGGGAGGCCCACATGGGAGCCTTGTGGGGTGCCGGACATATTCTGTCTCTTGATCCGGGTGATGGTTACATGAGGGTAAACAGATATAAAAATGCATCATGGGATGGACTCTGAAGATTTGTGTACTTCACCATGTATGTGTTATAGCTCATTAAAGACTGAAAAAATAAAATAAACTTGCTCGGCAACCCTGGCTGGTTATCAGGTGGCTAAGCCACCTTGCCCTTCACTGCCTGTTCTCCCATCTTCCCACTAAGGCGAGGTGCCCCTGGAGCTCAATACTTTGCCTTTGACCTTCCCTGATGATTTCACCTTGCCCAGGCCTGCCCAGACTGACCTTGGGCCTTGTCACTCAAGAATGTCACCCCACCTGCACCTGGGCCCCTCCCTTTACCTGGAGCCTGCTCACCTGGAGCCGCCCCTGCAGCCCTTTGTCCAGCTTCACCCTCTCCACCCCTCCCCCCCAACTGGCCATCCAGGCCCAAATGCCTCCTGCTGAGGGGCAGTCATTTTTACTCTACCCCTGCTCTAGCACTTTCTCTCTCCAAAATGTCCCAAAATGGTGACTTCTCTACAATGGGCTGCAAGTCTTCCTTCGGTCCCTCCAAAGTCATGTCCTTCCACTGCATTTTTTCCTCTGCTCCTGCAAGCCCCCAACCCCCTTTTGGCCCACTCTGTCCACAATTCTCTGGGATACAGTCCTTTCTAAACACCCCACGCCTTGGAAAAACAACAAAACAAGGTTCCCCCACCTGCTCACCAGACTGAAATCCCATCATCGTCTTTAACCTCAGTGGAGGGGCACTCTGCACCTTTGTGAGACACACGCACATGCCCTGGGCCCCATCAGTCAGGTTACCTCTGCAAGAGGGGAACCTCGAGGGCACCCTCTCCCAGAATAAGCTCGGACAGAGAGAGAGGTCCATGGGGACCTCCCCGTCACCTGCGGAGAAAAAGGCTCCCGGGAAGCCCCCGAGGTCTAGTCCCCCGAATCAGGTGGCTTGCTCAGTGCCCTCCCACACTTAATGGAGACAAATGGTGGGGAGCCTCTATTCTCTCTCCCCACCTTTCTTCCATCTCCTGATGAGGGTGGGGCTGGACTTCAGCTAATTGTCATTTTTATCCCAGGCCAAACCTGAGCTCCCTCTAATGTCTCGGCACCCCTCCCCTTCCTTGGTAAGGGAAACTACTACCAACCCAGGTCCTACAGTCCCCCCTCCCATCTATGGTTCCTCAGCCCCATCCTCAGCACCAGCTGCCACTTACAGGTCAAAACGGAGGTTCTGCTTCTCCTCAAAGAAGTAATCCACAATGAATTTGCGCACAAAGTCGGGATTGAGTGTGTTGTCAATGACTTCGGTGCGTCCGAACTGCAAGAGAAAATGGGGTGTGGACCTCAGGGCCAGGCTGGTGGGGCAGGGGAGAGCACTGGGCTCAGAGCCCCTCAGTACAGGCCCCAGGAGTACTGGAAGCCATGCTTCTGGTCCCTGTCCCCTACCCCCTGGCTGAGAGTTCCTCCATCTAACAATGGAAACCATCCGCGCCAGGGCTCCAACTCCATCCTCAGCTTTATTTTCACTACCTCTTTCTAGGCTCCACCCAAGTTGTAAGGTTTTGATACCTGAATACTTGAGCAGAGTATTCCCCTTTCTGCTTGTGGAATTCCTCCATTTCTTCAAAATCCTTTGTTAATGCTGCCTCCTCCAAGAAGCCTTCGCAATTCTTCCACCCAAAGAGTTTTACTTCCCTCTGAACCACCACTGAACTTGTGCTCCCCCCTATGACCACCATCCTTCTCCGACTGATTCCACAGTTAGGTGTGTACTTATCTGATGCCACAATTATAAATGAAAGGGCAGAAGAAGGGATTGTGGGATCTTTAAGATCCCCACCTCCTGCCCATGTGTAATCCCCTCCCCTTGAAGGTGGGCTAGACTTCATGACTCACTACGAATGAACAGAATAGAGCACAAGCCACTCCCCAAATTGTGTTATAAACTACCATGACTTCTGTCTCTGGGACCCTCTCTTGCTCTCTTTTGCTTGCTCACTTCGAGGAAGCCAGCTGTGCTCTGGAGAGGCCCGTGTGGCAAGGAACTAAGGGCAGCCTTGGGCCAGGAGGAGGGCAGCCAGTGAGGAGCCAGGCTGTCAGCCAACCCACCTGTAAGAATCTGAATTTTATCAACAACTACTGAGAGAACTTACAAGTGGACCCTGCCCCACCAGAAGCTCGAGATGACTGAGGCCCTGGCCAGCACCTTGACCGTAGCCTTATGGGAGACCCTGAGGTCGAGGACCCCACAAAACTGCACCCAGATTCATGACCCTGTTGTTTAAGTTGCTCAACTCTGGGCTAATTTGTTACACAGCAACAGATAACTAATACATGGACTTAACTTTCTTGGTATCCCCTGCAGCAGATACTCTAGAATTTTACACTCATTAGGCACTCAATAGTTGAATCCCATTAAACTCCCCAAACGACTTAAGGCAAGTCACTCCCAGGTCTAAGCATCAGAATCACTTGGAGGGTTTGTTAAAATACCGATCGTAGGTCTCACTCCCAGACGTTCTGATTCAATAGATTCAGGGTGAGGCCTGAGAATCGGCATCTCTCAAAAATGTGCTGCTGGTGCAGGGACCTCCCTCCGGACAACCACCGGGCTCGACTGTAGTCCACAGGGCTCTGAGCATCTCAGGGTCTCCCTGTGCTGTGGAGGAGGGCAGTGGGGACATGGTTCCTGGCCGTCACTCTCTTACATCTCGTTTTTTTTTTCCCTTACATCTATTCAATACACTGGACATTTCTGGTAAGATTTTGTTTCAAAAAAGGGACATGGGGCTAAAAGACCGAGTGTAAAAGCAATGCGCTCTATGCTTCATGAAGGGAAGACATGATACCAATTCTACAAAGTGAATAAGACAGACAGGTGCATGATAAATATTTTAAATAAATTGTGAATATTTCTGAATACATAAACATGTTTTTTCAACTTGGGCAGTAATTGCCAAAATAAAAAATTAATCCTGAGTACTAGTCCTCCTTAATGGGGCCCTGCAGCCCAGAAAAATGCCAGTGCACGGCCCCCTCTTCTACGGGGTGGGCAAGGCCTGCTTCTCTGGGATGTAGCCCAGCACTCGCTTGTTCTTTGAATTAAGTTAGAAAGCTGCAAAGAGAACGTCCCACCCAAGGCAGTGTGGGGTCATCTGAGAGCACGAGATTTGGCACCACCTTGCCCTCCCTCCCTATCAGTTCCTCCAGCCGAGTCTCTCTCCTGTCCCCCTATCCCCACTTCTTCCGCTGTGGCCTGGGTCAGGGCTCCCCATTTTCTGACCTCAACACCTGCAGTGACCTCCTAGTGGGTCCCCTAAGTGGGAACACTGCTAATGCTTGAGGACCCGGCTCCCCAGAAGTCCTGCTCTCCGGCTCCCAACCCCTCCCCTGTGCTCCCACAATCCACCCAGCACCCCTACGGCTGCACTTACCCTGTCCCCTGACAATGATCTGAGGCTCTTCCTACCCCACCAGACAGAGCTTCTTGAACAGCAGAGGATCCGAGCTCTCCTCATTTTTGCAGCCCAGGACCTGCCACTGTTTAACAGATTCGCAGGCTCGTGGTCGCAGACGATTATAAGCATGAGGAACTGTGCAACACATTTTGCACCGTATTTACCCTATTTCATCCTTTTATGGTAGGCTTCCCCATTTTACAGATAGGAAAACAAAGGCACAGAACAGTTAGGGTTACATAACTAATCATTGCTGAGGACAGGTCACAACCTAGGCATTCTGGCCCATGCCCTCTAAGCCACGTGGTGCTCCATGTGAGGTCCCTAGTGAGGGCAAAGACTGGTCACCGCTCCCGGTGACTGGTATGCAGTGGGGACTCAGAAACTGTCGAATGAAGTAAGGTTGAATGAGGAAAGGGATGAGTGGGTTTGAGTCGCAAGCTTATCACAAGCTAATTGTGGGACTTGATTGGAGAAAGCTTCAATTTCCTCATCAGAAGATGGGAGAATACGACGTGTCCTGCTTACTTCTTAGAGGTATCATCCAACTCAATTACTGATTGAACAAACAGTTTTTCAGCACTTATTATAAGCCAGGCAACGTGCTGGGTGCTGAGCTACAAATACAAATAGAACATGAACCCTTTACCTAAGGACTTCCCCGTCATAGGTGGGACAACTCACAATCGATTGCTACAATACAGTGTGACAACAGCACTATATACAAACCTCTAGGACAGGATCTCCCCTGGCTGCACACCAGAAGCCCCCGGGGAAATGTGAAAGAGATTGAAATTGACACAAAAGCCGATTACTGGGGGTCCCGTTTCACATGCTAGTCCAGGCATCTGACTTCGTAGAGATCTGCACCTTTCATTATGGTTGAGCTATTTTACAACTTTGGAAATTGTAGAAAGCACAGGGTAATGCAAACGATTCTTATCCGTAGATATGTAAATATATTTGGCTCAGTGGAATGCAATTATTTGATTATTATCTTGTTGATACTGACTGATTTTGCATCTATTTATAAATTAATTTCAGCATTCCTGATTGCCTACGTACAGCTGACCCTTGAACAATGCAGGGGTTAGGGGAGCGGACCTTCACACACGGTCGAAAATCCAGGTATAACTTTTGACTCCTCCAAAACTTAACTAATAGCCAGCCTACCGTTGACCGGAAGACTTACCGACAACAAAAAGTTGATTAAAAAATATTTTGTATGTTATATGTATGGCATACTGTATTCTTACAATAAAGTAAACCAGAAGAAAGAATATGTTATTAAGTCATAAAGAAGAGAAAATATATTGACCAGACTGTACTGTATTTATTGAAAAAAAATCTGTGTGTAAGTGGACCTGTGCTGTTCAAACCTGTGTTGTTCAAGGGTCAACAGAATGTGTGTTGAGTCATCTGAACCAGCTGTAACATCTTACTGGTTCCTTCATTTAATTAACAAGTTAAATAAATCCTTACCATGTGTTCATTTTATATTTGCATGGGGATTCATGATTTTACCTTTTAAAAAAATGTATCCTTTAACAGGAGCTTTTTAAAAATACCCATGCTCAAATCCCCATCACAGACCAATGAAACCCAATCTCAATGGGTGTGGCCTGAACAACTGTTTTCTCAGTTTCCTAGGTGATCCTAATGCGCAGTTGGAGTTGAGAACCACTGATGGAGGAAGAAAGAAAACTAACCTTTACTGAGCCCCTTCTGAATGCTCACTAGATCAAGTGGATCATTATCTCATTCGATTCTCACAAAATCCCCGTGAGTTACTACCCATTTTCCAAGTGAAGAAACTGAGAATCAGAGAGGTTAAGGAACACAGCTAGGCAGAGCTGGGACCTAAATGCAGGGACCTAATTACAGATAGGAAAACAAAGGCACAGAACAGCTAAGTCATCTGTCTAGGGTTACACAACTAATCATTGGTCACACAGCTAGGCAGAGCTGGGACCTAAATGCAGGTATGTGTAATCCAAGGCCTGTTATATTTTTACTTCATCTAACGTCCTCAAGCACTATGATAATCAAATAAAGATGAGGTTTACTTCACAAGTATTTATAAAAGCCCCACCGTGTACAAAGCAATGGGGTAGACATTGAGTTGAATAAGACTGGGTTCCTGCTACATCCCCTAATTCAGTAACAATCTTACAATGTATAATCCATCCTTGTTCCAAGAGAATTCCTGCATTTTCCCCTTCTGCTCTAATTCTTTTTTTTTTTTTTTAAGATTTTATTCATTCATTTTGACAGAGAGAGCGAGAGAGAGACAGCCACCGAGAGAAGGAACATAAACAGAGGGAGTGAGAGAGGGAGAAGCAGGCTTCCCGCCAAAGCAGGGAACCCAACCCGGGGGCGGGGCTCGATCCCAGGACACTGGGATCACGACCTGAGCCAAAGGCAGATGCTTAATGACTGAGCCACCTAGGCGCCCCTGCTCTAATTCTTAACACCTCTAGTCTTCAGACAAAAGGAAAATTTCTCCTAATGGCTTTCTTGCAGAATATTCTGGGTAAACACCCAGGTATGAGAGAATCCTCTTTTAAGAAAGGGCTCTACCTCCTCTTCAATGTACTGCTCCCCCAAACATGTTAAAAAATCCCTCTGGCTGAATTTTAGATACACCCCAGTCCAGAAGGAGAAAGCATTTGGGCCGCCTCTCTCCTCACCCGACTCTCAGCAGAGACTCCAAGGAAAACACCCATTAGGGAAGATGACAGCGCTGCTTTTAAAATGGCACTTGAAGCTTCAATAGAGAGGAATTCCCTAGAGATTGATCTCTGCCAGAGAAGAAAATGGAGTTCCCCTGGAAACAGGACTTGGAGCGGGACTCCAAGGG